GGGTTTAGGGTTTAGGGTTATGTCAAAGCAGCGTTTGGCAGGGAAGGGTTAAGGAATAAGGGTTTAGGAGTTTCGGGTTTGGAGTTTTGGGTGTTATTGGGTTGAGGGTCCAGGGTCTAGTGAGACCTAACCAGTCGTAGGCAGATTGCCTTGAACAAAATGGCCTGCTAGATTTTGTATTCGGGGCTCCTAGTCTGCGTGACTTTGGTTTTGAGGGCTGAGGGTTAGGGCTTTCGAGTTTAAGTGTACAAGGCTTGGGCGGTTTCGGGATTCGAAGGGCTTGGCATTGATGGAATACTTGCTATCACATGTCTCTGCTGTTATTTACGAATATAGATGTCTTTCCAGTCTGTTCCAGTCTTAGTTCGGTCCCACGGCACCTGACGATGCTTCTCAATGCTAAACCATCCTAATCCCTGACGATGGTCTCCATGGCAGTTCCTGTTCCAGTAAGCCAGCTCCTTGTTTAGGACCAGGATATTTCCGGATCTTTCAACATCGAGACCCTAAACCCTAAACCCTAAGCCCTAAACCCTAAACCCTAAACCCTAACAAGGACCCTTTTTTTATAAAGGCCCGTACTTGGGAGTCGCCCCCACCTATTTAGCGTCCCACCTGTGGAGGCCTTTGGAAAAACATTCAGACCCGGAGGCCCAACGCCTTACATGACGGGCTGTTGCAGCAACAGTACTTAGGAGCGTCCATTCCCTACACCGCACGCCCTAAAGGTATATGGTATACAGCGAGTGCGTATATGTCTGCATCGTGTACGTCATCATTACCATCATCATCCATCATCATTAGTTATGTGTATATGTTATTATGCATACACACACATACATACATATATATATATATACATATGTATGTCGTCTACAAGGGCTGTCACACCAAAAGCCGCACTTGGAGGACCCCCGCAGCATCCCTGCACAAATGCAACAGACAGCCCAAGCTTGACAGCCCGAGACCAGTGCAGGGTTTAGGGTTGTATCTACCCAGGTTTGGGGTCTCAAAACCCTACACCCTGAACCCTAACCCCTAAACCCTAAACCCTAAACCCTAAACCCCTAAACCCCTAAACCCTAAACCCTGAATCCTAAACCCCTAAACCCCTAAACCCGTAAACCCTAAACCGAATTAAAGGGTTTAGGGGACAAGCGAGCCAACAAGACATGGGTAGCTCCCCAAATTAGGGTGTCCTTTTAGGCCCCTAAAATAGTACGGCACCCTTATGAAAAAGGACCCTAAAAGGGCCCCTGATTTAGAGACCTACCCACAGCGAGACCTTAGGCCCCCTTCGAGCGATTTCCAACGTTAGAGCCCCGTCTATCTTCGGTTGTAGGGTTTAGGGTTCGGGGTTTAGGGTTTAGGGTTGAGGGTTTTTAACCTTTGACCCCTGAACACTGCACCGAATTTTTAGCCCAAGCCCTTCACTCTAAACCGCAAACTCCACAGTCGAGGTGGCGTTTCTCGTGTCCTTCACCCGCTGCTCTCGCCTTTGGGTACCTGCGCCACGACAACTATGGTCTAGAGCAAAAATTCAGGGGTTTAGAGTTTAGGGGCTTATAGGGTTACGATTGCTGAGTGATGGACTCGTCCGGCTTTCTAAGGGGCTCAAGTCTTCAAGCGCTTAAGGCTGAGTAGTGTGGGGTGTCGAACTTCGTGGTGCGGCTTTGCGGATCATAGGGCACAGGGCTGTAAGTAAGGGCTTCGACAAAGCCTGACATGTTTTTGTTTTTATTTTAAAGTTCTCTTCTGCCATCAAATGCGGCCTGACCACGTGCATGTACTGTGTTGGTCTGCGGGTCGCGGGAAGCCGAGCCAAGAGACTTCATGTGTTGGTTGCCGTGAGCGTGCAGGAAGTGCTGCCGGCAGGCATGTAGAAGTTTTGCTGTCTTGTCCTTGTTGCTATCTTGAACTGCTGAGCTCGTTCAGCCCCAAACCCCTAAACCCTACACCGTAGATTGTTCACCCTAAATCCCTAAACTGAGATCATGCAGCATACATCGGCATATGCTTCCTGAATGCTTGCATCTGTTGCCGCTTGCAAGTCTAAGGAGTGTCGCATAAGGCTTCTACAGGCTCTAATGTAGGAGCATAAATATTTACCAACATTATTCCTTAGGGTTTCCTTTTTATAAGTATACCATAAAGGAGCCCAAAACCCGATTATAATTTCAAGGCCTCTGCATTACACGCCTTTGTACGGTGCAGGGCTTTTGGGGCTTTCGGATCGAGGGCTTAGGGTTCAGGTTTCGAGGATTGGGGTTGAAGTTCAAGGCTTAGGGCTTGGGGCTTATAGGGTGTAGGGTTTAGGGGTTTAGGGTTTGGGGTTTAGGGTTTAGAGCTGGCAGTCATCAGGTCCGGTTTCAAAAGGGTTTAGAGAGTTATATAGGCGTATAGGGTTTAGGATTTTGGGTGTTGTGTACAGGGCTTATGCTGTTAGTTTCCTGTCAGAGTTGCCCTGCCGAAATGTAGTCCAGGCATGAAGAGCCTGCCTTGATAGGAGTACGTAGCAATGCCTAACATAGCAGCCTAAATAATTACCAATATTACTGTTAGGGGTTCCTCTTTGTTCTCTTTTCAAGGAGCCGAAAACCTTGTTTGAAATATTAAGGCCCCTACATCACAGCAGTATCGAGGTGCTGGTCCTTGGCTGCCTCGTTGACATCATCGAGGCGCACACATCTCCTAAGCACGACCCGGGGAGAGTTTAGCCTTTCAGGATTTCAGGGTTTCGGGGTTCCAGAGGTCAGGATTGAGGGTTTCGGGTTCGAGGCAGGATTTGGGATTTTTTTGAGGTTATTAAGATTTGGAAAACTGTGTGCTCCATCTACAAAGCTAGAGCACGTGGATGGCGGCGTCTGACTCGTACCAGCAGACAAGCTGTGCTTGCAAAAGAGTGAGAACAAGGTTCGCCACATTCTGTCTCTATGTTCTGTTCTTTTGTTTTGCTTGGCTGTAGTTTTTAATGCTTAACCCTCATCTCCTCCACCCTAAACCCCAGCCCTTAAGCCCGAAATCCTAAACCCAAAGCCCTGGGCCTTTTCAGTTTAGGAACCCTGCCCCTAATGCCTACAAGCGAAGTGGTTCAAAGGTCTTTCCCGCCTCCTGGGGGGCTCCAGTGCCGCTCGCCTCACTTGTTCTCTAGGGCCTCGAGCTTCGGTTTAGGGTTGAGGGTTTGGGGGTTTAGGGTTTAGGGTTTAGGGGTTTAGGGTTTTAGGGTTTAGAGCTGTCCAGGGTTTTGGGGCTTGGCTAAAAACCTCCACTACACCAACTCAAGATGCTTTTGGAGGGTCCTTGTAGATTCCAGGATTAGGGGTTTTGTGTTTAGAGAGAGCTTCAACTTCATAATGTTATGAACCATAGCAGGATCTTCTGGGAAACTAGGCTTGGGCATTGTTCAGGCCACTTCAGTTAGGGGTGGGTACGGTTTGCTTGCCTTCACTGCAGCTCCGCTTCCTTCACCGCTTCTCGGAGATTCGGGATTAGGGTTAAGGGTTTACCTAGTGTCTCCATCGGGCTTCTTTTGGTTGTACCAGTATTATATTAAGGATCCTTTAAGGTAACCCCAAACAGGAACCACAATAAGTCTTAGCGGACGTTGCGGTGCGTCCAGGTTTTAGGCTGTTGTCTGATGGAATCGACGTGACATGAGGGCCATTTAAAAACCTTAAACCTAAACCCTAAACCCGAACCTGCTAGTTTGCAATATCTGGCTAGAGCCCGCAGAACGGACCGCCCGCAGCAGCAAGCCCCTTAAACCCCAAAGCCTTAAACCCTAAACCTACTCCCTAAACCAAAAACTAAACCCCGTTGGGGTTTAGGGTTTAGGCAATTTAGGGGTTTAGGGTTCAGGATTTTGTGTACAGTGCTGGGAGCAGCAAAAAGCTGGACATGTAATCTAGGGGTCCATGTTTCACCATTGTTAATTAGTTAATCCTTGGGGTCATGTAGGGTAAGTTTCTTATATGTCGCCCCAAACCCCGTTTCTAATTAGTTAATTCTGAGGGCCTCTAGACTAAGTTCAGGGTTGAACATCTCGGGCGCTCTGGGACCTGAAGGTTTTGTTTTTTGGGGGGTTCAAGTTTCAACGACATAGACTGGAGTTTGAGTGCTTGGATTGTTTTGTAAATGGCCTTTGTTTGTTTTTTAGCTCTCCTGCAGTCTTCGTCTTGGGCGGTATCGTTCGACTCCTTCACGGTGTGGGCTGGGTTTAGGGGTTTAAGGCTTTAGGGTTTTAGGGTTTAGGGGCTTTGGGGTTTAGGGGTTTAGGGTTTAGGGTTTCTTGGTGTCCAGCTTCGGAACATTCAGAGTTCAATCGGAGTAAGACGGAAGTTAGACGCAAATCTTAATGGTTTAGGGTTTAGGGTGGCAGGTCTGAACATGTCTCAGGGCTTAGGGCTTTGGGCTTAAAGGTTGCCGTCTCCACCAAGGTTTCTCCTCGTCTTCACAGTACGGGCTACGCCACCTCGGCAGCATTTTTAGAGCTGCTCTCTCTGGGTTTCAGTCGAGTGTCTAGCAGGCCACTCGCGTGGGGGCCTTTCGTCTTGTTTGGGGTTTCGAGGCTCAGATGGGTGGACTTCGTCCAGCTCTGCCGAACGCATGCACGTTGGAGAGAGGAGGATGCGCAGGAGCGGAGGTTGCCAGGCAGAGTATGCTATGCATTAGGGTCCTAGGGTAGCGCCTAGGATTTATATTAACAAGCTTGATGTAAATGAATATTTGGAATTGAGTAGACCTTGCATTGTGCAGAAGCTTCCATTGTGCCGTTGTTTAGACGTGAGGTACCATGACAACAACAAAGCCTCAGCACGATAGTTCATGTTGCGTAGTGTCGTGTTCTGGTTCAGGCATGACGGATACTTTCTTGAATATACTGGTACCAATGTTGTTGTGCATTAACGTATGTGGGATTCGGGGTTTGTGGCCGTGAGGGCGTCCGGTTCCGAGGCGATGGAGTTCACCTAGACTCCGAAACCAACCTCAACCCTCACTGTAGATTGCACGTGGTTAAGCTTGCCGGGATATGTTTGGAGCAGCTGTCTCACAAGCCTTGCAGACTTGAGCCTCTTGGGCCTTTGGCCACTTGAAGTTAAATCCTAAACCTCAAAGTTTAGGGCTTATGGTTTAGGTTTGAAACTAAACCCTAAACCCCGAAATCCTTAGCCCCAAACGACTGAAGCCCACCCACGGCCCCACAGCCCACAGACAGGATCTGCGAGAGAGGGTCCCAACAAAACCGAAAAAGTTAAGGGTTTAGGGTTTAGGGGTTTAGGGGTTTAGGGTTTGGGGTTTAGAGTGTAGGGTTTGAGTGTGTGATGCCCTGGTGACCCTAAGCTGTGCTTGAAAAGGGAAAAGCAGAACCAGACCTAAGATGTGAGCCTTCGCAGATTCAGCCCCCGAGCCTCGCAGAGTTCAACAACCCAAACATTGTAAAGACTTAGGCTTTAGGGTCTAGGTTTTAGGGTTTAGAGTTTAGGGTTTAGACTTCGGGTTTAGGGTTTAGTTTTCAGGGTTTAGGGTTTAGACTTAGAGTCCTCTTTGCTCAACTCCCGAACCCTTTTGTGGGCCATGGTTAAACCCTCGACGACAGTAGCCATGCATGATGAAGCCTTCCAAAAGTTTGAAAATCCTCAATAGAAAACTGTCTTCCTTTTCAAAAACTGAGCCCCCGAACACTAAACCCCAAACGAAGCCTATAACATCGTGGAGGAGGCTGCCGTGCTGGCGCAAGAGTGGCGCGCCGCACAGCTGGCCTACAAAGGCCCTCCACCCCTGCTTCGGGGCATAATTTGGGGTTGAGGGTTTAGGGTTGATTTAAGGGTAGTATAGGGTTCTATAGTGGGATCCCTTTTAAGGGTACTATAGGGTTCTATAATAGGATCCCTTTTAAGGGTACTATAGGGTTCTACAATCCTTTTTTTGGGTTTACTGGTTCAACCTGACGCCTGGTGGGCTCAGCGCCTTGGGAAGGATTAGGGTTTAGGGTTTGGGGTTTAGGACCAGTTTAGAGTTTAGGGTTTAGGACCAGTTTAGGGTTTAGGGTTTAGGGTTTAGGACCATTTTAGGATTTAGGGTTTAGAGTTTAGGATGTAGGGTTTAGGGTGGCTATGACTCTTGCAAACAGCGCACTGGGTCACGGCCAGAGCATGCATAGTGGGTTTAGGGTTTAGGGTTTAGGGTTAAGGTTTCGGAATTTAGGGTTTAGGGTTTAGGGTTTAGTTGGGGTTTAGGAATTAGGGTTCAGGGTTTGGGAGTCTGAATCTTCAAGGCCCTCTAGGGGAGGCAGAGACGGGGAGAAACCCTAAACCCTAACCCCTAAACCACTAAACCCAGAGACGAGGCTAAACCCCAAACCCGACACCCCTAGACCCTGGATTGTATTGGTTTAGTTGGGGGACAGGCGCTTAATTTACTTTGGTGGTGTTTGTGACCGCAGTCTGTAGTGTCTTGGGCTTATGACGATGCACTGACTAGGGCGCAATAAGGTTCTATCCTAAACCCTAAACCCTAAACCCTAAAACCCTAAACCCTAAACCCTAAACCCTAAACCGTTTCCAAACGCTCAGGCTTACCTCAGCCCGTCCAGTCGTTTACTGCAAGCCCAGATGGGACTTTCCGGAAATTAGGGGTACCTTATTTTGGGGTCCTTATATAATATAATATAATATAATATAATATAATATAATACAATATAATATAATATAATATAATATAATATAATGAGGATCCTACTATTTAGGGTACCATATTAGGGTCCCCTATTCTCGGAAACCCCAGATGTGAATCTCGTGCGGAATTCGACATCCGATCTCCGTGTTCAGCAGCTATGTTTTAGAAGAGCATTGCAACCCTTCAACCCTGAACCCTGCACCATGAAGGCTGACAATCTCTAGCCCCAAAGCCCTCTAAACCCTGACGCCCTAATAAAACGCGAACCCTGGAACCCAACGCCCTGGCTCGTTCTCTGCCTCATTCACAACTCTGCTTACAACCCACATACTAAGTCTCCTGGTCCTACAGTCGAAAGCCTCTAAACTCTAAACCCCGAAACTTTTTAGCTGATTGCCCAGACTTCCACAGTAACCCTAAACCCCAAACCCCTAAACACTGAACCCTAAACTTCCTTAGTCTTGAAAGGAAGCAGTACAACGAAATCAGAGCCCCCTCATCTTTCAACTAATGCATACAGAAGCCTGAAAGATAAGCAAGATCATTCCTCAGGTATTCCTGAAAATAACTTTATATAGTCCATTATACCACCCCAAAAAATTTCTGTTTTACTTGTAGATGAAGGGCCAAATATCATAGTAGCCCTTGCAAGCCTGATAGTATCTCTCATGGAACCCTTAAAGGACCCCATTATAGAACCCCATTACCCATGGTGCCCTTTAAGGGAACCCCATAGGAGAACCCAGTAGTCCCAAAAGCCTAAACCGTAAACCCTAAACAATAATGCCCTTTAAGGGAGCCCTCAGAGGAATGTATACATGAACCCTAAACCCTAAACCCTATACACCTAGACCTCTAAACCCTAAAGGCCTAAACCCCAAACCCTTCAAACCCTAAACTCCTGAACCCTAAACCCCTGAACCCTAAACTCCTGAACCCTAAACCCTTAAACCCCTAAGCCCTAAACC